AGTGTTTTCAAACTATGTGAGGTGCTTAAGGAGTGGTTTTACCAATGCTACAAGCCCTGCGGGTTTCCATGGCCTAGCAAAAATTCAAATATGGGTGTCCTAAGTTGTAGTGTGTCACTCTATCCAACAAACCACAGTAGATCTCTTCCTAAATTTGAGATGTGCCATATTCTATGTATCTTTTACATATTGAGGTGTCACTTGTTCCATCCCAAATCCTATTGCTGATGTATGCTGGTCCAAGGGAGGGTGCTTTACATCTTGTGTGTGTGCCCAGGAGCATAACCAGCCCCTTATTAATAAGCTGCAGTTTGCTGCCAAGACTTCTATTTACAGAAGTGTAGATTGGCATTTGACCAGTCCATTTGAAATGTAAAACACTTAAGAAATAAAATTTTTACACTTTAAAGAGCAAGGCCTGCATTTCCCCCCCTTCACTATATTTTGCTATGTGCCCTATCGTGTACTTAAAGCAGTGGTTCTCTATTATGTGCTTACAGAATCCAATAAGGTTAGCCACAGAAGCAGAGGGAGGCACTAGCCATATATTGAAACCAGAAATGCCTTTAAGGCAAGTACTTAGTGTGCTCCAGTTGTGAAATACTGGGTGGGAAGGCATAGGTTATGAACTGTGGAAGTGATGTCAAGGAAATCCATGTTTTAACTACTTTCCTAGAGGCACTGAGAAATACACTGCCAGTGTAGTATGCCACAGTGATTGTGTCTTACTTTATCCCCTCTATAAGACGAAAAAGATTCAGGTCACAGCACTTTCCTGAATAAGCAAGCAAAGTTTAGAAAAAGAGCAACAACAGGAAAACACAACAAACCTTTCCTCCCATCTACAAGGAAGGAAGGAAAAGTGAAAATGAGGAATGAAACACAACTAGTTTTACAATAGCCCACCATGCACAGGAAAATGGCACACAGGGGTTGGTGACATCTTTATTATACTACTAAAATCTTGCACACATAGGCTAAATTTTGCTCTTTCTCCAGCTGTGCCTAGGTGTGTTGTACACGTTTCCTTGATGAAATCAGGTTCCAAAATATGGGGAGCAAAAGTGGTCAGAGACAGTAGGTTTCAGGTTTCATCTCCATGCATTTGGCTGCAATTGGCTTATCTAGTGCATGAATCCACATGTTATCCCTACCTCTCTAAAGTGTGGTTTTTCTCATGTTTGTGCATGCTTCTGTTCCCCCCAAATGAAAAAGAGTCATATCTTTTGATGTACGGTGTTGTGGGGTGATGAGGTACTTAGTGACTGACAGCTCTCCGTCTAACACGTTTGAGACATTCTAATCTGCATTGCCAGAGGTGGAACTTGAAACCTATGCATCTGACCCAATTCTGCCACCTCCAGTTTAGACCTTGCCCACGTGTGGATTTTGGAACCATTATGTTTTCTTCTGCACCACTGCCAGTTCTGCAGCACTGCCAGACTAGTAATGCCTAGTCTGAGAAAAACTGGAACAGCTTTGAAAGCTAACATCTGTGTGACAGATCTTGGTAGTCTACTAAAGGTGTCACCCACCATTGTCTTTTGGAGTGTGCAGAAGAACCACCCATCTTTTTTTTATTTTTAGGTAGAAAAATGAAAGAAGAACAGGGTAATTGAAACACTGCTCCCCTCCTTTGCCTATTGTTAGTAAATCAAGTTAGACTTTTCACTGTAATCATGGACATATACAAAATATTATCCCATAGCCAAGTTCTACTTCTGTGCAACTAGAAAATAAACCATACTGGAAGAGAAAGCACACATCTTTCTGAATTAAGATACAGACTGATGAATCTTGAAGAGCACAACTATGCTGCCAAAGATTTATAGTCAAATCTATAATGCCTGCACACACAAAAGCCACCTTCTACAGAGATCTTCCTTATCAGACTAGGGTGTTCATTTCTTATAAACAATTTTTCCTCATTTTTCTTCTATAGAATTGCTACTTATAACACTAACAGCCATCACAAGTGAGGTATAAAACAACACTTTATTGACTGGGATGAACAGTAGACTGGTCCAGCAGCTCAGTAAAATAGGAGTGACTTATTTCCAGCAGATATGGAATAAATAATGAGAATTCTTCCAGATTCAGTAAATAAAACTGACAAACATATGTGAGGGTATTTTTAAACTTTTTAGATGAATATCATGAAAAGTCATTTAGAAGCTAGACAACTAACTTCTCACTAAAAAAATAAAAATAAAAATCCACCCTTTTCATTTAAAAAACATAATTCGATATTAAGGATGGCTCTAAGATGAAAAATACTGTCTCCAAATTAAACAAATTAGTGCATCTCCTTCAATGTGGGGGAATTTACTTTAAAAAGCAATTAATTACAGTGTCAAGTCCCTCTCAAAAAGCAGTTACAGTTACAAGTAACCGAACAATTATATTTTTAATTTTTTTCTATATTAAAAAAACCCTGAATCCTATGAGCCAAGGGCCTGTGATGCAAAACACACTCTCCTCTCTCTGCTTCAAAGTTACCTCAGCACCCACAACAGAACACAAGACAGCAGCAGAAAGAACAGACTAAAGCTATTTCTCCTCCACCATTTAGTGATACCATATTCATCCATAAATAAAAATTGTAACTTAAAAGTTACCAAGAGTGAAGTTATGGCTACAGAGAAAAAGGCAGAGTAGAAATGAAATGAAATGAAAACAAACGAGTGTGATATAAATTTTACTCAGAGAAAAATAACATGGGAGAGACTCAATGAAGCTGTTTAGAAAGTATGGCTCATCTTCCTTCTCCCAGTCTCAGCCATTTCCACCACCACCACCTCACATCCTTCTATCCCTCCTGCCTCAGAAGGCCAAACTGGATGTATACAGACAGTGCCAAGCCTCCATTATAGCCATTGAACTCTGAGTTATTTACTCTGGATAGAACAAGCTTTCCAAGGTAGAGACTTTTCTTATCATGTCTTACTCGTTCCTTTTAATTGGACCTACCAACAATTGGACATGGAACCTTCTGCATGTAGAACATGCATTCTATTCATGCATTACAGTCCCTCCCTGTGAACAGATCTCGTTTCTAGTTTTCTTTTTTCTTTTTAAATAAATAAATGGTTACCCAGGCCTAATTCAGATTTTTTAAAAAATGTGTTAGATTGGACACACTTTGCTTTACCAATTTGTTAACATTCATCAACGCTGAAAGTCCTCTTTCTTTTACATAATTTCCCAAGTATTAATTTCCCTGAATCTACAATTTGCTCCACTGCAGCAAAAATCAGCTGGATTGGGGGACATTTACATCACGAAAATTATACGGAGCACAAATTAATCGCCAATGCCATGACTCCAATCACAGCCTCCAATGTTTTATCTGATATGACTGAGCGGCACTTACAAAATGCCTGAACTTTCTGTAACTTCTCTCAATTAATTAATTGAATCATCCCTTGGCAAAGCAACCACAAAAGCAGAGTCTTTTGAGATGTGCAATGCTGTGCTGGATACCAAATTAAATACTAGCATGATGAACCTATAACACAGAGTTCAGGCTAAGGAGCTGTACTTTCTAAAAACTTCAACTTTCAGAGACTGATGGTTGGGAAAGTGAGCTGTTTTAAAGTCATTGTGTACTGATGCGGAAGACAGATGACAACGTGTCAAATCACTCCACATTACCAACTGCCTGGATAATAACAGAGATTTAAAAAGTGCTTCCATTACACAACTTTTCTTCCAGCTTGGCAGGCAAATGTTTCCTTCTATGCAAGACAACAATCAGAATGAAAAATTGTAATTCTATCAGTGTCCAAACTGCTCTTTACATAGTCTTTGTTTCTTTCTTTC